ACGCTGGAGCCCGATCCCGGGACTGGGGAAGAGGTGGGCCCCGGCCGGTACCGCGGACAGAGAAGGGGTCTGTTTTGGGGGGTGATACGGACCACGGTACCGAAACATCACATTCTTGGGCCATTTGACGGCAGATGGAAGATGGATTTGGATTTAGAGCGGACAAAATTGGTGCTCCTGAAGCGTTCTGAAGAATATAAATAGCAAATCATGACTGGGAATGAGAACGGTAGTTCCTGAAGAGGAATTAACACATCGGACAAAAACTGCAAAATAGCGCGCGGCAGAAGAGAGGGAACTTCAGAGCAAGGCGGCAGGAGGCAAGCTGAATATTCCACCAGTTACGCTTGAAGAGAGAAGAAAATGAGACAGTGGGACCCTGCAGCAAGGTTAACCTTGCCTGTTCAACCACTCGTTCCCATGAAGCTGAATAGTCCGTGGTGATGCAGCCATCTGGAAATAAGATAGTGTGCACAGTCTGTTAAGATAGATGAAAGGTTTAACGAGGCTGTGGCTTATTAGTTAAAGGTTCACCTGAGATTTAGCATGCCACCCAAACCTGGACTTGCAACATTTTGATTTTCAGGAAACTGGATTTGAAACTCTGGCAAGCCTTGGCTTTAGATTCCAGTTTCTGCCAATCCAGAATGGCAGCTGTAGTGCATTTGGATGGCACAGAAAACCTCAAGTCTCCAACTCAGATAAATGAGCCCCATTTAGCAGGGGAAAGATACCTTTGTAAAACCCTTCCACAGCATAGTATGCCATGCCAACACTACCTGTCTTTTCCTAGAAAACCTGGATCTAATCAGCCCCTTGTGTTGCAGGATGTCATTCTCTTCCTTTGGTGGTTAAGGGAGGCAGACACAGGGTGAGGGCCGCTGCTCTGGTTGACACAAGCAGCAAAAATACCCAGTAACAATGGAACATCTTATTAGTCCCACCCGTGCATTGATCAAGTGTGACTGTCCTGGGAGTCCTTACACAGAGTTTGCGTTACAGTTTTGAAGTACTGTGCTCAGCTAGCAGAAGAGGTTACAGATCTTTTTGTACATTGTGGGTTGTGGCTCATCTCAGTGAATTGGTCCATTGTTTTATTTGAACAAGTAAATGTTAGGTTTGTTGGTTTGTTTTTTAATGAATAACATCATCTAAAATCTGAAAAATACCTTATTCGCAGGGCATTTTTGACCCTAACATCAAGACGTTTTGAATCCAAAAGCTTAAATTCAAAAAGTAAAATGATGCTGTCATGCCGCTCTGTGGCTTGGCCACATCTGGAATACTGTACACAGCAGCGTCCACCTTGGAGTAGCAAAGCAAAACAGGTGCCCTCTCATGGATGACTGGAATTGCCTGCTTAGAAGGGAGCAGAACCACTTCTAAGTATTTCAATCCTTCCCTAATTGTATTGTAATAGGCTGACAGACTACCTGATTGTTAAATTAATCAGCTGATGGGTTCAGGAGTTCAACCATTTAAGTCTGAGGTGGATGGGGAACCTTTGAAGACCTGGGGTTACAACTTGATCCCTCAACCTCATGGAGAAACACTGAACCCTGTTTGGTCATGTTATGATAGCATCAAAAGAGGGAGGGCTAAGTTTTTCATCCTGTGTCTTGGGGGTGAGGTGGGGGGGCAGGAAGCTTCTGGTAGGCCAAGCAGGCCCAGCCTCATCTTTAAAACTTCCCAGCAGCCCCAAGGAGGCTTGAAGTTGTGCTGGCAAAATATTTCTCTTTGCTGATTAGTTTCAGCAGGATGATCTGTGTGCCGAGTAGATTGCCCATCCCTCGTCTGTGAGGGAAGGCACATTTTTTATTTAAAACACATTTTTATAATGCAGTATGGTTATGAAAAAGACTATTTAAAGATTCTTTTAAGAGCAAATAGAAGAATTTGTTTGATAAATTGTGAAGTATCTTTGTGCTCTAGTAGTATCTTAGACATCTGTATTTGGGTGTTGCCTTGGTGTATGTTATCTCTAAAGATTACTCTGTTTAAAGCTAAATGATTACTTAACCTTTTAATTTTGTGATAATCCTAATTATATATTGTGAGTCATGACTTCAAAAAAGGAACTGATAGTGAGTAGACCAAGAGCACAACAGTTCACATTTTGTTCAGCAGGCAGTTGTTAAATTATTTTTACATTTATGCTGAATTTGAGGAGGAATATTGAATATTTGCCACAATGGGTATTTCCTCTTGGTGTGAAGGAGACATTTACATAGTGAGTTAGTATTTTGTGTTGCCCAGGACAATAGAAGATATCTGAGGCATGTCTTTACCTTATCTAGTTCCTAATTCCTTCCAATCTCTGTCATGGTAAAGCCTTAACCAACTAAAACAACTGTGGAGCTGCTCATAATTCTAGTAATAAAAAACGGGGAAGGGGGGATGAGGAAAAAAAGGCCCCAGAACATGGTACAAAAATGTCATTTCCTCCCCAAATGTTTCCAGAGGATGGATGCCTCCTTCATGCCAAACAGGAAGTCATCTTCTGGTGTTCCTTTTCCGGTTTGGGCTGTGCAGTAGGTTGTACCAAATTCAGTAATTGCATGAGTAATTCATTCCAATTGAAGCACGTTTGAGCCAGATGGCATGTGGAGAAACCACCAGCTGGGAAGCTTCTGAGGACAGCCTCAGCCAAGGCCTAGAAATCCATCATCTAACACCTTTTACTACTGGAAGATTTCTGCAAGATGGGCAGTGGTCAAAGGAGCTGGTGGAATGGAGGCAGGTTGGTGTAGTATGCCAGAGCACCTGTGGGTTTATAAGCCAGAATGCCTTAAGCCAGTGTACCAGAGTGGAACCAGGCACCTTGGACTCTAGAGAGGCTGGGTTGAAGGTGACAGAAACACTGAACAGAAATGGGAGGTGTCCTGTGGACACGCAGTCTGTGCCGTAAGCTTTCCGGGAAGGTTTTGGACAGAAAGAGGAAAGATCGCTTTGTGTTCCATGTGAAAATGTGAGTTTAACTTGTGAATGAAATCTAATGATAAGACCACAGTCAACTTGTTAGGTGATTTTCAGCTGAGAAGGCAGGGGTCGATGCCACCTAAAGACAACTTTTCTGATAGTGCTGTTGAGGGGATTGAATACGTAGGTTTAGATGGAGGCATCTGAAGGTTTTGAGAACTACTTGCAGGCTCCAGGTAGGGAACCAGTGAATAGCATCATTACCTGACAGGATCACTCCTCTGAGAGATCTGTGGAGATGAAATATTTTTCCCAGCCTAATCAGGGCTAAGGGCATGGCTTCAAGACATCCTGGGCCTCAGCCTGAATCTGACCCATCCTCCTGTCCTTATGCCTGATGTTTCATCAACTTGATCTGTAGATTACTTCCTGGAAAAAGGAATGTTGAAATGGCCATGTTGATAGCCTAGTGGTTTGTAAATCTCCTGTTTGGAGGCCAGATGGCTAGGTGGATCCAGGTGTGGGATTGAAAGTGTGAGAACAGATCTGGAATGGTTGATAGGAAGGTTGCCCTTTGGATAATTGTGGAGCCTCCAGATGTAGTGACAAAGCAAGATCTTGTTGTGCTTTGAATCAACTCCTGGGATTTCTGATACCCTGATATGCATGTGAATTTCCAGCCAAAGAAGAAGAGCTCCCAGAAGCCATATTAGAATTTTCAGCTCTAGCAAATTGCTGTTGTGAACTTTTTCCTCCTGTAGCCACACAACTTGGACTGGGCAAGCCTTGTAGCATTGCTGGTAACAATTTCTGTGGGAGATTCCAGAAGGCAAGAGCTGTTGAGTTGGTTGAAACTGCTTTCCCACCTGCTTTGATTTTGGAGTAGAGGGAAATTCTGCAGTTGATGTTTTAAATAATCACCCACTGATACGAAAGAAAAAGTTGTTACAGGGATTAATGTGTAAACTTGGTGAAAGTTAATGTCCATTGAGGTGAGGAAAGAAGGAAACAGATTTTTTTTTCTATGCAATTGCCTGCTAAGTGAAAACTGTTGGTGACTGGGTCTGATGGATTAAGGTTGATCAGGCTTAGATGTGTTCATGTGCAAAACGTAAATAACCTTTTAGAACGTCTGAAGTTTATAGATGAGGGAAAACACAGTGGGAACAAATAAAAAGGGACTGTGGGAACTGATGACTTGCCTTCTAAACCCCCAAAGGATCTTGCAGAAGCCCACAAAAAGAAGCACTAGAGAAGTACAGTCTTACTCTACATGAAGGCATAGAAAAATAGCTGAAAAGAGTCAGGGAGACAAGGTAAAGATCTGGGATACGTGTTCTCTGCTTTCCTAGCAATAGAGAGATTTACCCATTTTGCATCAAGTGAGTGAATGCCCATTGGCCTTGCCTATTTTCCATTCCTTGAAAAATGTGCCCTTTTTTTGGAAGACATAGCTTCCTTTTATATTTAAGTTCAAACCAGGACTGCTAACAGGGATTAAAGTTATTCACTGTTCCAGTTTCAAGGGGAAAAAACCCACAAATCATAGCTCGCCAATACAAGGGCAGGTGAATAACAGAAGAAGGAAAGGCAGAGAAAAGACTGGAGGCCCAATCTTAATTAATGATTTATGATTGCATATAAGCCGAGTTACTGTTTTGCTTCCCACGGAGCTAGTTGTTGTCCTGTACAACAAGTAGCATTTTGACCTAAAAGCATTGATAGCCAGCTCCTCATTTAGTTCTTAAGAGCTTAATATGTGAGTTCTATTATTAATGCGTTATGTATTATTCACCACGCACATGGGCGCGCACACACACCACAATAATCTAGGGAGGACTTTGCATACTGAGTACAGAGGGGGATGGAAAACCAAGCAAAATATGGCATAATGGAGAAAGCCTGCTTGGAATTACTGCCTGGAACCACATGTGTGAGGGTGGTGCCTTTTGTTGGTTTGTTTTAAGCCAGGAAGATCATCTGTGGCATTCTGTTGCAGATTCTGCTCCCGGTAATAAGTACCGCCACATCCTTAGGACGGCTTCCACATTCAGTATGACCTAAAATAGAGTTTCCTCATCTAGTGTCTCATAGCAAGAACAACATCAGCAGTCATGTTTTACTTCTTTTAGTTTATTTCTGGAGCACAAATACTTTCAGTCAACAGCAGAGTATATAGTGTTTGAAGTTATTTTTTATCCATTGACTCTTTTTTTTTCCCTCAGGTGGACAGCAGCAAGGAATCAGCGGAGGCTGCTTGTGATATCTTATCCCAGCTTGTGAACTGTTCTTTAAAAACCCTCGGACTGATTTCCACTGCTCGACCAAGTTTCATGGATTTACCAAAGGTACTGACCAGACTTCTAATCTGGTCTGATTTAAAATAAAAATCTTTAAAGTCAGTAACTTGCAGAAGTCCAGTCTGGTTGGTTACCAGTGAATCCGGAACAAATGTTGAAAGTGCTATCACAATCGTACCTTCTCTTCCAGACACAGAGAAGGAGGAGAGTCTGTGGTACCAAAAAATCAGAAGAAGTCTGGTAGTCCCTTTTCCAACTTTCCAACACACTTTATTCATTTATATCAGAAGTCAGTGCAATCAGTTCCAGCAGCAGCTCTTAGTCTGCCGCTCCTGGTGAAACTTAAAGAGAAACCATCCAGGTCTTGCAAGAACAAAACTGAGAAGGTGGCAAATCTGCCTGCCTCAAAGGTTGGATTTATAATCTGCCCTTTTTTTTTTTATTTCCGACGCTTGAGGCAGTTTACAATAAAAAAGACGAGTATAGAAATAACATTAATGCAATTGAAATTGAAACCCAAAATAAAATCAGTTGTTAAAATAATTAACAACTAAAGACTTGTCAAAGGAAGTGTGTTTTTACCATCTTCCAAACACTGTGAGAGGAAGAGCCAGACACACGATCTGTAACTTGGAAGCCATGCAGGAAAAGGCTTTCCCATCTCCCTGGGAGCTGAGCTTCTGGCTGCAGAGGCACCTCCAGAAGGGCATTTCCTGCTGAACAGGGTTATTGGGTGGAATCCTAGTGGGAGGAGCAGTCCCACCTCAATGCCAACACCTTAAAAGTTGTGAACAGACGCTTGTAGCTCTTTTAGTACAGGCATCACACCAGAGAACAGCCGAGTTGCCTTTTAGCACTGCAGTAGTCAAGAGCGGTTGCATCCAAGGCCTGCAAAATTGATGCTCAGGAAGGGCCACCGTGGGTGATGCCTGAGCCGTAAGTGGTGCAAGTCCTCACCAATGCTGTCCCCCAACAACGCCATGACAGTGGGAGATCCAGGAACACTCCCATCCTGTGGACCTGCTCCCTCTGGGGAGGTTGGCCCCATTCCTTCCATCCCAGAGTCCAGCTCTCTCCTCCCCAGCAACACCTCTGTCTTGTCGGGATTTAGCTTCAGAGGATTCTCCCTCACCCAGCCCATTATTAAAATTGGAATCGGACGGTGAGAAGTGAAGTCATCCCTCTCCTCCCAAGCCCTGGATGGCCTCCTGGTGGTTTCACATGGATGTCAACCAGCAGAAGAGACCAGATAGACATTGAACTGTGGTTTCGTGGCACCACCTTCTGGGCGCACGCTGACAGGGAGGCCTGGTGCTGCTGCCAAAGAGCCCCCACTGGCCTGCACCCGTCAGCAGGATCCCACGATCAGCACTCTTGGAAGCTGCCAGGACAGCCCTCCTGCATCTGGCTTCTGGGCTGGGCGACCAGGATGGTCAAATTTATTCTGCCCTGTACTAAATTTACATCCTCCCCTTTCTTCCCTTTTCTGACTGGACTGGATTGTAGTTCAGTGAAGGAAACTCTAGTTACTAGCAGCCAAATGTGTAGGTCTGGTCTGGCTCCAGCGTTCTGAGCAGGCTCTCTGTACAGCTCTGGCTGAAAAGCTGGGAACCAGCCTGTTGGTATTCTCTCGTGTAGTGGGACGGGTGTCTGTGGATTTAATAAACTGTGGAGAGCAGAGGGTTGGAAGAGAAATTGAACCCCGGTCCCACCAGGGAGGAAGAGACATTCTTTTTTCTGTCACTGCATCCTGTTTGTCTTACTGCCCTGGGAACTCTCCATTTCTTAAAATCTTTTCTTAACCAGTTTGTCTGTCACTTTGTTTCTTGGTTCCCCTTTTTATTTTCATGAATGTTAAAATAAATTGAGAGCTTAAAACCATGCACTCACTCAGATCCGAGTTAATCTGTTGAGAAGTATTGTCTAATAAAATGCATTGTTAAATTTTGCTATCTAAAAAGTTACCAAAGCATTTCCTAAATATATTGCTTTGTGAAGTCTCCTGATAAATATTACTAAATAGAATTGGTCTTTTTTAGATCAGTATAGTACTGCTGAGAAGCATGGTGGTACTTCAGACTTGTTGAGCTGCTCTTGTTTGCTGTGGATAAGCTGCATTTTATAATGTGGTTATTAAGTTTCATTTCTCGATTTCAGTGTTTTCTCCTTTTTACAGTCACACTTTATCTCTGCCCTGACTGTGGTGTTTGTAAACTCCAAATCCCTTTCTTCACTCAAGATAGACGATACACCAGTAGATGATCCATCTCTCAAGGTACTGGTGGCTAACAACAGTGATACTCTAAAACTATTAAAGATGAGCAGTTGTCCCCATGTTTCTCCAGCAGGTAAGTTTGTTTTCAGAATAGCATGATGGATATTTTGAATTAGTGTCTACAGACAACTTGTACCTGCAATTTCCAATAACTCAGAATGGTCCGCACACCTTTTCTTCACTAAGTTAGCATCTCCTGAGCTGACCCAAACGTCTGGTTGCAATGTTGTTTTCTTGGCACCTATGTGGGAGGAGTTTGTATTGCTTTCTTTTGGAATGCGATTTCCTGGTGGTTTCTCATCCATAAACTAACCAGGAGTAGCCATGTTTAGTTTCTCAAGATCAGCTGACACCTGCATGACACTTCTGTCTGAGACCGCCTTTGGTACCTTTAGTTATATCAGAACGGTATGACTAGAATATAAACTGTGTGAGATAATATTGCAGTCCGTATTAATGGAGAAGTAAATAAATTCAGCCGTGCATTGGGATGTAAATACGCGCTGTTCGCTCCTGTTGGACTAGAGTAACTTAACTTAAATATGCTACCATGGGTACTCCTTAGTTTGCAGAAGAAGCATTTAGTTATCGGAAATACTTTACTTATCTTCATCATTTTTATTCTGATCTTCCCAATAATCAAAGTTCTCTGGGCAGATTAGAGAATTACTCAAACAATTTAAATCTTTTTTTTTTCAAAAGTAAAACGATGAGAACAGAGTTTTTGTTTGAAATGTAGGGTTGGGCTGCGTTACACAGCAGTAAAAGCATGAAATCATTTAGGCTATAACAAGCACTTACCTAAATGCCATTATTATTTATGAGCAGGCTGTTTCCCCTCCTTTCCCCAAGCCCATACCTTCCAACGAGAGGCAGCAAGTGCCGCATAATGTCCCCAGAATCTCATTATTGGAGTTAGATATTCTCCATAAAGGTGGATGGAAACCTGAACGTGATGAGCACCTCAGCCGCAGCTCTTTTGAAATCGGACGAAACAGTGACGTGTCTGCCGTGTTGCTGCTTCCTTCCCCAGTCACTGAAATGGATCACTTGGGCAGCTTATTCAAGCGTATCTGGCAGAGCTTTTGCTTCCACGACACGTGATTCCTGCCACTGGCAAAAGGCTTTCCTGAATAGTGTGCTCCAAATGACTCATAGCTTCTGGCAAAGGAGCAATTGTTATTTTATTATTTTAGAAATAGGTGGGGGGTTTTTAGTTAATGAATCTTACGTTGAAAGTATATTCAACATAAAATAAATTTTACTGTATGACTAAAATCTAGATCTATTAACGGGTTTAATTGCCATGGTAACATTCCAAGTCAGCTTTGTTATCACAAATGAAGAAATGCTTCAGACCTCAGCATGATTCTTGTTTCCAAACTAGTCAAGTTTTCAGTTTTTGTATTTAGTTTAGCACGTGTATTTCTTTTCTATGACAAGCTGGATGTGAATTTATATATACTGATATTTTATTTGCTTCTCTAGGAATCCTCTGTGTGGCTGACCAGTGCCACGGCTTACGAGAGCTGGCATTGAATTACCATTTGTTAAGTGATGAGCTCCTTCTTGCTTTGTCTTCTGAAAAACATGTCAGATTAGAACATTTGCGCATTGATGTAGTCAGTGAAAATCCAGGACAGACACACTTCCACACTCTTGAGAAGAGCAGTTGGGATGCTTTCATCAGACATTCCCCTAAAGTGAATTTAGTTATGTATTTTTTCTTGTATGAAGAAGAATTTGATCCATTCTTCCGATATGAAACTCCAGTCACGCATCTTTATTTTGGGAGATCAGTCAGCAAAGAAGTGCTTGGCCGGGTTGGAATGACATGTCCTCGGCTGGTTGAACTGGTGGTGTGTGCCAATGGATTACGGCCACTGGATGAAGAATTAATCCGCATTGCGGAGCGCTGTAAGAACCTGTCAGCCATTGGCCTCGGAGAATGTGAGGTCTCCTGTAGTGCCTTTGTGGAGTTTGTGAAGATGTGTGGCCACCGCTTGTCTCAGCTGTCTATCATGGAAGAGGTGTTGATTCCTGACCAGAAGTACAGCTTGGAACAGATTCATTGGGAGGTGTCCAAACATCTTGGGAGAGTTTGGTTTCCAGATATGATGCCCACGTGGTAGAGCCTCTGAAGCAGACAAGGGCATGTGGGGCAACCCCTGCGATTGGGCCAACCTCCTGGCAGCTTAATCATATAAGCTTCTTAATGATCCTAGGATCCGTCAAGCGTTGTAGAAAATCAATGTACTTTTTAATGCTGGTTTCTAAGATCCAGGTGTAAGAAGTGGTAAGGGAAGAACCGAAGATGTTCTAAAACACATGTTCACATAATTTTTTTATAGTTTGCTTTTTTCCAACAAGACAGATGCTGATATATGTAGAGGTTGACATGTGTTTACATATTCAGATGCTGTAGTTCCAAATCTTGCTCTGATAATGACAGTATTTTAGTCTGATTCTTGGAAATATTACTGTGACTGATGTAAGGGGTATACGGTATATCACTTTTGTTACATAATCTTGGAAGCTGCAAACATTACCCAGGTTTGTCGAAGGCTTTCACGGCCGGCATACGATGGCTGGCGTGGGTCTTCCGGGCTGTGTGGC